TTAGGATATATTTGATAGGATTAAATGCGGTAAAAATATAATAAATAATTTCAACTGTTATGTGGGTTCAAAGAATTGGTGGATGAAATAAAATATTTTTTCTAATAATAGAATTCCGATAAAGGAATTAAATATAATAAATACGGATGACAAATAATTGATTATTAGATTGGTTTAATAATACTTTATAATAATATTATTTCAGTGTTGTAAATTATTGTCATCTTATAATACCCAACAAGCAGTAAAATGTGATGTTTAAACATAATGAGGCAACTGCAACAAATTGTTAAAAGTAATTATTATTTTTTGGAATATTAGGTAGATTTAAAATTTAATTTTTTTGAAATATTGAAAATCAAACTACAGACAATAGATTTTTGCTGATTTTTATGGAAATTAAAAAATATTACTGATATTTATAATTAAAAGATTATTTAATATACATAAGTAATTATACCTTTCAAAATAATTAGACATTAATGATACTATATCTACACACGAATTCATACGTTTATCATTTAAATTTTATGTATACTTACTTATGTTTTAAAAGTGACAATTATTATTTTAAAAAAGTATTAGGTAGAATTTATTATAGAAAAAATAAATTAAATTCTTCCAATTGAAATTTTAACCAAGAATTAAAAATATTTTATAATATGTTTAGTATTTGTAATTAATAGAAAATTAGATTTTTATAGATTAAATATATTAAATATGTTTGAAAACATTATGAATAAATTTCATCATCATTTCAATAAAGAATATAAATATTATGGAATTAACAAATAGTAAAAAGATCTTAATTAACGTATACAAAAAATTACCTTCTTTTTTAAAGACTTCTTTACTTGAATCAATACTATAGCCATTGTGCTAGATAAATACCAACTGAAGGTTTTATTATAGAAGCTTTAAAAATGCAACACAGATATTAGTAGTAACTGCGAAGGTTTCAGACTACGTTCTTAGATTTCTATTTATGACAATTTAGAAAAATAATTAATTATAAGCATTAAGTAAAATATATTTAGTTTATGTAATGAGATAAATATAATTAAACAGAAACTACCAATACTAAATTTCACTATAAATATAATAAGTAAAATAAGTATATTATTTTTTAAACCAGATGACTGATTACATTCCCGCAATATTGCAATATCTTTAAGGATTATTGAAATAATCTGAAATTCAGATCGAATTTGTGATGCACCGGCGCCGTAGTGAACAGATGTTGAATACAGATATGATACGCTGTAGTGAACGCATCGTCTACCGGCAACGGCAGCCAGACGGTCCGCACTCTGTTCAAGAGAGCATATAGCAAAAGATATACAGGGTGTCCCTCAATTAGTGCGACAAACTGAAGGGAGTTGTAGAGGGCATCAAAACAAGTCATAAATATATAGGAACCCGTGTACTGAAATGTGCTGTCTTGGCAGCAGGTGGAGTGAAACGTAAATTTCAAGTTGCGTTATTTATTCAAAACATTTACAAAAGCTACTCAAAGTGCCGTCCATTCTGTTTCAGACACAAATGCACACACCTGTTCGCTGTTGATAGTAGGGTGTGCAGTCCGTGTTGGTACCTTAGTGCACGTCCAGTCAAGTTCATTCCGCTCATTTTAATAATACCGGACATGGGTTCCTATACTCAAATAGTGATGTGTCGGTATTTGAGTAACGCGATTTTGGAGCGGTATTTTTTTGTAACGTCGTGTCGCGCTCCCCAACGAATCAGGAACCTGTTACTGAAGAACGACGATCATAATGACGACAAACTTATAAATTATTTATTATCGCTCTTGAAGTTAGCTGGAATCGTAGTAACCGCATAGCGACGTGTTTAACTCCAGCCGTCGCGATTTCGTCGGTCGCCAACAGTAGTAACTGGCACTGGTATGTACGCAGGGTCGCGCGTATTCGCTCCAGCCGTCGCGCTCCTAGTCACGAGCCGTAGTTCCGCCTGTCGCGAACAGAAGTAACTGGTAACTGCTGTAACTGATTGTCGACGTTCGACCTCGGCGGCGGCGTAACTTCGCTTCAGTCGTCGCGCTCCTAGAGCCGTAGTTCCGTCTGTCGCGAACAGAAGTAACTGGTCCTTGCTGTGACTATCTATCGACGCTCGAACTCGGCGGCGATGTACTTCGTTCCAGCAGTCGCTGGAGCGCTTCTAGTGATCCGGTTTTGCCTGTCGCGATTTGGTCGGTTACTATTGGCGTTGGTGCTCCCGTCGCTACGTTACTTTCGAAATTCGAAATAGCGATTTTTGGTATGTACTAGGCATGGTATAAAATAGCGTTGTTTGAAAGATGAAACGCAAAAGCAAATAAAATAAAATAAAAATATTTTATATGCTTTTATTCATTTAAGTTTTATTGTTTATACAAAGGTTTATATCTATTTTTAAGGTTGGTTAGGCCAATAAACAATTTCTTTTGACAGTGGTTTGGACTTTGTTCTTTATTTTAACATTAAATATATTATATTGCAAAACACATAAATATGAGCCGTTGATTTTATTTAAACGAAAATTGATGGAAAATAACAAGAATGTCATCGTTTTTCTAAAAATGAGATAGATTGGTTATACACAATTATAAACTCGATATTTGGAAAATGAGCGGTGATAAAAGTTACATTAATCTACAAATATAGATAAGTTAGATATATTTTTAGCGAGAACCGCCACACTTTGGAAGTCGGAACCTTGTTAACAAAATCGCGGTATTTTTCTGGAACGGTCACTATTGTAACGCGACTCATATATATAGAATATATATATATATATATATATATATATATATATTCTATATATATGAGTCGCGTTACAATATATATTCCATTTGCATATATACTATATCTCTATATATATCAAGTCTGAGTCATATATATATATATATATATATCATATATATATATATATATATATATATATATATATTTATATATATATATATATATATAATATATATATATATATATATATTATATATGCTATATATATATATTATATATATATATATATATTCTATATATGGCGAGTCGCGTTACAATAGTGACCGTTCCCAGAAAAATACCGCGATTTTGTTATATATATATATATATATATATATATATATTATATATATATTATATATATATATGTTAGTATATAGCATATATATATATATATATATATATATATATAATGGTATATATATATATATATATATATATATATATATATATATATATATATATATATATATATATATACATATATATATATATATATATATATATATATATATATATATATATATATATATATAAGTATATATGTTTGTTTCCGGTTTCTTTGACCTGTGTACTATATATTCCATTTTTGTTTTTTCACTCTTGGCTTTAGGTCGTTGGGTTTTGCAAAGATGTTTCTAGATTTTTGTTCATTACTTGGCTTTTATTTTGTGACGACGTTTCATTGATATATGTCGTTCTCTTGACACAGTATATCACTAATACTGGGGTTCCAAAATTTAAAGCTGGACAACACAATAACACATATTAACTATTGTTTTTAATTGTTGTAATGTCCAAAAACAATTAAAAACAATAGTTAATATGAGTTATTGTGTTGTCCAGTTTAACAAATTTTAACTCTGTAAGAATCTACGTTCAAGAGGCTTGAAAAAGATATAATAATATAATATAATAAAATATATAAATAAATAATATTTTCTTGCCTTTAGCTGTGTATTTTTTCTAATTTCGAAAAATCGAAAGTAGAGAAAAAATTAAAAAAAATAAAAAGTAAAAAGAAAATTGTTTTGCTTGTCGTAAAGGGGGGAACCAAGCTCCACTCCCACAACCGGTTTCTGGGCCTACCTTCATCAGGTGGGCTGTCCAGGGGCTGGTTCTCACCGATGGCAAGCAATCACTTCTTCTATATCAACAGATGATGCACGTAAAGTGTCGGTGAGATATAGTGCATCTCCCGTCAGATGGTAAGAGCGTTTCTGGCCCGCTCAAATATATGAAATGAACAAAATTCTTACAGCTTTAGTGTATATTATTAATAAATAATATTTTCTTGCTATTTTAGCTGTGTATTTTTTTCTAATTTCGAAAAATCGAAAGTAGAGAAAATTAAAAATAAAAAATAAAAAAGAAAATTGTTTTGCTTGTCGTAAGGGGGGAACCAAGCTCCACTCCCACAACCGGTTTCTGGGCCTACCCTTCATCAGGTGGGCTGTCCAGGGGCTGGTTCTCACCGATACGGCAAGCAAAACTTCTTCTATATCAACAGACGATGTCGTAAAGTGTCGGTGAGATATTAGTGCATCTCCCGTCAAAAGATGGTAAAGAGTGATTCGATTTTTCGAAATTAGAAAGAAAAAATAGAAATTAGAAAGAAAAAAGAAAAATTAGAAAAAAATACACAGCTAAAGGCAAGAAAATATTATTTATTAATATACACTAAAGCTGTAAGAATTTGTTCAATTTATATATATATATATATATATATATATAGATATATATATAGCGAGAATATATACATATATATATATATACCTATATAATATATATCGCGGTATTTTTCTGGAACGGTCACTATTATATATATATATATAGAAGCGGTATTCCCATCACTATACTCAAATGACTTGTTTTGATGCCCTCTACAACCCCTTTCAGTTTGTCGCACTAATTGTGGGACACCCTGTAACTAGCTTTCTTAAACTTCTCTCTCGAAAACGTTGCAAACTCTTAGACTATATATAATAAAAATATAAAATGACATCACAATCAAATCGTATATCCGATGAAAGGAGGCATGAAAATGCAATAAATTTAAAAACTGCGTAAGTTTCTAACCAATCGAAGTCTTTAAAATCAACCAATAAAATTAATATCGTATCATCGTGTCGTCGGACAACGGATGCATGAAAAACAAACTTTATTGTATTTCGCGGAAAACATACGAAATTTAATTAAATATAATTTTATACTAACCTTATTGATAATTGCTGTTGCCAAAAGGTCTTCATAACTTTTATTTTTATCGTCTTCTTCTGGAACTGTGGGGTGAGCATGTGCTTTCGCTAGAAGAGGTAAATTCACTGCCTCCTTCAGCAACCTCTCTATGATTTCTTTTAAAGCTGTATGTGCTGAACAAGGAGATTGGCCGGTAATTGGTAAATCTAGAAATAAGAAAATTTATGAAAACAGTCTAATACAGTTAGTATACAGGGCAGTTCAAATTCAGCCTCCACCATTGCAATCTCGAAAACAATAGGAGATATGAAGATGGTTAAATTAGGGCAAAGTTGTGCATTAATGTGCTTAATAAGATGCCGTTTAATAATAATAATAATAATAATCATCTTTATTTCACATTGTGTATGAATTTACAGAGAATCTGAAAATATATCACAAAGGAAATGGTGTCACAGACAATAAAGGTCTTAAAAATGCACTTTTTTTCTATAAACAAGCTGTTTATAATACCCACACACACACCTATGTCCCCTCCAGAAAGTCTCTAACCGAGTATGGTTCCATTTAAAATTTAACATTTAAAATTTCGAGTAGTTCGGTAGATATTCGAGAAACCCCAAAAATTGAAATTTTCAATTTTATTGTTTTCTGACGTTATCTGACAAGGTATCCTAAAACTAAAAGCCATTATTTTCATTTCCACTTTTTTTCCAGCTACACAACACAGTTTTCAAATTTACCATCCGACGTTTCCTTTTTTGACCACCATCACCAACTTTGTTTTCTTATATGCGCCATATTAGAAATTTACACACCTAAATATAGTGACTTTTGTATAAGATAATTACATACATAACATAATTTATAAAAATAGTCTTTTCACTAGGCGGTTTTGGTTCTTTGAAAGAAAAACGCGACCCGTTAAAAACAAAACAAAACAAGCATTTTGTTGCCAACTTAAATTAAAATACCTTTTATCTTTAAAAACTATTATGTTAATAACATCACAGTGTTTCGATTAAACATCATAATTAACATAAATATCTTTCAATAATATATTTTTTTTAATTTGAGCATAGTATTCCAACTAAAACTAAAACTCCAACTAAAAGTAAAATCATTAACAAAGAAATCAAATTTTAATTCACAGCTTTTTCCTTATAAAATAAGTTTTTAGAAACATAACAGCATTGAAGCCTCATCTGAGCGATTCCCATCTTAGAGACAATTGTTTCCAGACAACGGGAAAACACGCTCATTCTCCGTCAATGTTGGCTCTATAGTCATTAAAGCTTTGATCATTTTTTCAAGAGTTCAAGGCGTTCGTTGCCTCGTAGACTCAAATAACTGATTTTAAAAAAAAAAAAAAATTAATAATTAAATTTCTTGTTATTTGAGTGTGACGGATTTTGTCTATCTGAGTGGACTTTTTATTTGAAGTTCAGATAATTCATTATAGAGTTTGAAATATTAAATCAAAGATATTTAAACGCAAGAGATACAATTGTTTACCTTTTTCCTTCATCGGCCATTATTCTATCCTTATTTTCCCATCTCTCTTACACCGAAAACATTTGCCAGATTTACCTGTATTTGGTATTTGTATTCGATTAAATACCACAACCAATTATTATGAAGTAATAAATAATTTCCTTATATTGCTATAATATATCAAATAGATTAATTTGCTAACGTCAATTCTTTCATTTAATGCTTAACTGCTTAACTATTTTAAATTTTATAATGGAATAAAAATATCATAGTCGTGTTTCTTTTAATAATAAAATGCAGTTTGACAACGTCAGTTTTAGAAATATGCCAGCGCGGCGTAGTACAACGGATTTCGAGGATGAATGAAAATTACTCGATTCTACTGTTGCGATGTTACTATGCCGCCGTTTATTAGTTTTTGGTACAATATTGTGTTACTAGGTTAAAATAATTATTTTATTTTGTTATTGCTAATAGAGGGAATCTCATTCGCCGGAGACGAACAAGGTTTGGAACAAGATATAGAAACTGAATTTACTAATACACCTAAAATTTGATATTTTATTTAATAAAATAAAGTAAAAAATCACTGATTTTTTAATCGTAATTCGTAAAGCCATCTTATAATAAAAAATTATGCCGGTTTTTATTTATTTCACTATCCTTCTTCAACTTATTTTTTTTACAATGCGAAAAATATGTAAGTTATATTATCTTTTCTTAATTTCTTAAACAATTATTTTAATTTCCTTAAAATACTGTCGGTCGCCACACTCTAAACAAAAGTGCTTCGTTTGTCAGTTAGGGTCATTAATTAAAAATAATCCAGAACGTTAATTAATTTAAATTTTATTAAGCTTATTAGCAAATATGATTTGTGTTACTAATAACATTCCATATTTTCGCCAACTAGATTATTAGCACATACTAGATTTTGTGGGCCTACATGGTAAGTCAGCTTCGGAAAAACTTTATTCTCAAAAAGTATGCGTGGTGGCGTTTGTTTAAAGAGACAAAAATGTAGTTAATGCTAGAAGGATCATTTAACGAAAAAATAATAATAGTCGGTGGAGTGGGCGAATAACTCTTTCTTGATTTTTGTGAAATTCATATATGTTAAAACCCTTAGCTAATCATAGGTACCCCAAATCTCATTTAAATCGGAATAACGGTTCTTAAAATTTCTTAAAAAATATGTTTGTATTTTTAAAGTTTAATTATTAAGAGAAAAACGAAACACTTTTCTATAGAGGTAAATTGTCTCCAATGAACTTATTTTGATTCCAAGAATACGTAGTAGTTTTATATCCACGGAATATTGGAACACATATACATATTGATTGAGATACAATACATATTGATTGAGAAAACAATATCAATATTTTTAATAAAATTCCAATTTTTTTTCCTTCAACCACCGACAAAAATACTAGCCAGTAAATGCATTTTGCTTACGGAGTTCTGAGTCAAAAGGATTAAATCTGAAATCTGAACTATGCTCGTTTTTTTTTTTTCGTTGATCTAAGTTATCTGCATTCACAATACATTTTAAGGATAATAATATGATATATAGATATAACATAATTCTGTTAAATAAGTAAGTAACCCAAAACTAATGTATCAAAAGTGTCAGTAATACAGGGTGGTCCGAATTGTGTTCAGGAAACTTCGGCAGCATATTCTGCAGATAAAAATAATTTAAAAAGTTCGTATAAATGTATGTGCTAAAATGCCTTGTTTCGAAGACAGGGTCTAGAAATTTCAATTTTATTCCGATTTTTTCTATATAATTTCTGAGCTAAAGTCGATATTAGGATGAAAATTGGTGTCTGGGTGTTACAATTCGGACCACCCTGTATATTTAAAACATTTATCTTAATCTCAAATTATCCAAATAATCTTATTGTTTTACAAAGTAATAATTTTATGCTAACATACTTTAATCTAAAAAATATTTCTAGGTAAACTTTATCAAAAATTTAATTAGAAAAATGAAGTAATATTTTACACATTATCTTAGCATAGCCAGACGCATCTAAAATGTAATCGATTGCCGTAATTCTTGACAGGCAACATGACGCCCTTTTATTTTGATCGTACGGTATATCCCCGTTTTATTATACCCTATCGAATACAATACACGTTATCTAATACATTATGATTTAATGAGTAATACTTATTTGTTCATACGCGTACATACGTGCATATGTATTGTCACAGTTTATTAAATAAACAGTGATAAATAATTTTAGAAATTAATTGCATTTAGGTATTAGACCGAGAGCTGGCTACATAAAAAACCTTATCATCGTTACATGGCTATTTTTTTGTGTGAAGTATCCTTTTGTATAGCCATTGTGAAATAGTCATGTCTGCCAGCGCGATCCCGGGGCTTAAAGCGGGGGCGGCCATTCGAAAGGGTGAAATTTTGACGCTAAAAATATTATAAGTTACACGAGTTGTAATTGCCAAATAGCTTTTATTTATTATTAAGAAACGTGTAAAATTGTTGACAGACATTTTTCTCGTGGCTGAAATGCCGGCAGCAGAGAGAAACTAATAACTAAAGTGAGAGGGCTTGTGGAATAGGGCATTTCGTAGACAAGTTTATTTTGTCACCGCGCATCCCAGACGCGCATAGCCTTTAGGCGGTCAAAAAAGGAAGTTTTCAACTTTGCAAGTTAAACATTTGACAGGATTAATTAGATTGTTAGTAGCTTTTTCTATTTCTTAGTTCTAGAAGGAGATAACTAAAATCTGTTGATAATCGGAGCAAATCGGAGTAATAAATTGTTTTTAACTGAATGTGCCTGTTCTTTTAGCTTGTCAGAAGAGAAGATTATTGTCATTATTGATTATTTCAGATTCCACGATTATTCGGCATTTTTGTAATTTTTGTTTTGTGGTGGAGAACCAGACAAAACGTTTCCTTTAAAGGTAAGTTTTATCTCGGTAATTATTTTAACATACCTAATAGTAATAGTGAGTGCACATAATAATTGTACATTGCTAATTTAATTTTTTTAATTTAAAACATCACATTCTTTTCTGATACCTATGGAACGACTAGGTATTATACCTGGTATTATTTCCAGTAATACAAATTATTTTCTTCAACTGCTAGGTTCTTGTTATAGAATAAAGACCATCAAAAACATTGAATACCTACGGGATACCGACTGATACTCTGTGCGAGCTCCAAACCGTGCTTCCCTGTTCACTCCGAACCACGTTAGATAAAAAAGATACTGAAGATTGCAGCCTTGAGTTGGAGTATGGCAAGGAGTCTGGAGTTAAATAAATTATTATGTTCCTACACAGTATTTTATTTATAGGTTTTAATGCTTTAAAGTCTAATAATAAATTTTCGTTGTCAAGGAAATAATCTAAAAAAACTACGAAGATTTCTTATTATAAACTTGAAAGATTAAGATTCGGTTCAAATATACAAATTTTAAATTTTTTGGCGCCTGTCCAAAAAGCGGTATGAAGCGCCGGTATGAATGCAACCTACTATATCGATAATACGCTCATAGTTCGGGTTAGACGCCAAAGGCCGCGCCACTAACACAGTCTTCAAAAATTAACGTTGATCGGTCTCTCTCACTTTAGTTATTAATGTTCTTTCTGGCCGGCAGACAACGCGAAAAAGGCATAGAATTTTGACAAAAGAAAATCATCGCATACATGCATGTCGGTTGGTGGAATGTCA